CCTCAGCATGGCCGGAGAAGCAGCGCGTCGGTGTGAGCCCGGGATCCGAACCCGGGTCGCCAGCAGTGGAGCGCGCTCACTTAACCACCAAGCCAAGGGGCCGGCCCTCAACTATTTTCTTATTGAGGGACATAAAGACTACTTCTAATCTTACGCTATTACAAACTGTGCTAAAATGAATAGACTTGGACATATGTATTTCTATATAGATACACATTTAAATAATGGACAATATTACAGCTATAGAAAATAGTCTTATATTATGCATCTTTAGTTCATTCATGGTATTCCAAAATATTAGCTGGACTTACCATGTCAGTAATGTAGATAATATCACCTTCTTCAAAGTACAATTCATCTGGCTAAAAGAAAAAGATTTTTACAAGTTTGACTCCATGTGATTTTTTCATCAATTAGACTACAACAATTATGATAATAAGTATATAAATTCCAAATTGTAGAATATTCTTATAGACAATGTGGTTTTTATATACTTAAATCAGCACATAAACCACATAACAAAACATTATTAACAATTTAATACATGTATAGGAAGCTGAATTTTTCCCATAGTGAACTTCAAGGAATTATACATATAACAAATAAGGATTCCTGTCTCCCCTTCCACACATACACATCTTATATTCTTCCATAATGAAAGCAGGGCATTTTTATATCAAAATAGAATATTAATGAAGATTCTTCCTTGCAAAGTTTTAAAAGGTGATATATATTTTTCACAAAAGATAAATGTCTAGAATTAAAACCATGAAAAACAACTAAAAGCTTGGCTCTCTCTCCTAAATGATTAGGCTTCAATTCTTAAACACTTTTATATCAACATCTGCTATCTGCTTATTTTGAGAAAACCATTATTCCACCTCTTCACGTTCCGAGAGAATGAACATTTCATATATGAGAAGAGTTAATACATAATTCAACCATTAATAAGGCTAAAGAGCTGAAAGATATGAAGCAGCAACTCGACAGTCCAGACCACAAGCAGCTCTGAGGGGTTAGATGATTACACAGTCAATATGTGCTCTGGCCTATACCAGCCAAATGTCCTACAAACTCTGAATAAAGCCAAGCACTTTAATTAAGCATCTTCTTTTTCTCATCATTAGATAACACTTATCAGCATAACTTTATGAGTAAACAGGACGATGTCTATTGAGAGTGAGTTTCGGATACTGAGAAATGTTTACCTTGTTACTGTTGTTACTGGATAGTTACTTTTCCATACAAATAAAAATTATGCTAGTGAAACAAATTATTTCACCCATTCATTTTTCCATTTGTCTATCTCCTCTCTCAGCTGCAGACTAGGGCAGTAAATACGACTCTGCACTAGTAATTTATTTAATTTCAAAGCTGAACTATATTATTATTATTACTATTTCCCCCAAATATAAATGAAGACTAGATTAGCTATATCATGCTTTAAACAACCACAATACATGGATATTTAGATGCACTATGAATTCAAACATAAAAATTAGCAAATGATGATTAATAATACCCAAAAATGGCTGAGTCCCTTTAAAAGGCACTTCCTGAAGCATTTGAATATTACTACCAATATGTGATGGATATAGAAAGTGATTAGGGAATCAAACTATTTCCTTTAGTATTTCTCTGCTGCAAACTGGATCACTCTGAGAGAGGATGGAAAGGAGACTCACTCACCACCGTAGCATCCCAGCCAGACGCAGTGGCCATCCATAACAGGAAAGTTGGCCTTCGCTGGCAATTTTAACAGCATTTAACTATCTCTCCTTTAGATGACAGCCAGGGATGGGAGTGGAAAAGTAGGATGTAAGGAAGCAAGGAAAACAGAATATCTGTGAAAACTTAGCATTTTTCTGGAGTGAATCTGAGTTTCCGGCAGTTTTGGAAGAGTTCAATGCCTTGAAGAGATCTTTCTGGTCTTAGAGCCATGCTGGGCCATTCTCATTCCGTACTTGTCCAGGAGCTAACCTTGCCCACTTACGTCTAACAACGAATCCTCCTCAGTCAGTGCTTTCATCATAGTTAAGGATTCATCTCTCCCTACAGATACAGCCTCCTTCTAAAATCGCAAAAGTCAAGTCTGTCTAAATTTCCATTCGATCATTCACCCTTGAAACAAAAAGGCACGTTTTGAAAAAGTACCGAACAAGTAACTTACGAAAATAAAGCACACACACACAATTCCTCTGATTAGTCTTTCTCATAAAAAAAGGAACAAAGCCCAGAAGAATAGGAAGGAAGTGCTTAGTGGGTACAGGGTTTTCTTTTGGGATGATAAAAATGTTTTGGAACTAGATAAAGGTGGTGGCTGTACAACATCGTGAATGTATTAAACGCCACTGAATTGTTCACTTTAAAATGGTTAATTTTATGTTATGTGAATTTTACCTCAATTTTTTAAAAAGGCAGTAAAGCCAAGGACAGTTTAAACTCACCATCTTTTAAGTAATCCATGTCCTCTGTGGTTTGGTAAAGTGCACCATTAGGAAAATACCACTAAGTCCAGTCATTTCGATACTTCTCAGTGCTATTTTGGTTTTTAAAATCGATGGCTGCCGTTCAATAGCGGTGTCTGCCACAAGCCGCCCATTAGGTCAGACTTGTTTTTCAACTAAGGCAACAACAGGTGGTCAGTTTCAGTCAGGTAAAAAAAGGTCTCACTGTTTTCTCATCCTGGGAAAGGAGACTGGATTGTTATGCTCTTTTTAATCAATAGCTCCCAGACACACAATGCTACTACCCATAAAATATCTTCTTCCAGAGAAACTGGGGGCAGTTTTTCCTAACCTAGCCAAGGAAGTGGTCTACCAAATTCTTCAAACTATTGGTGGCAGTATAGACAACAAGGTAATTCAGATTTTGCCTACAATATGAACATTTTCCATTAAGAAACCATTTGCAGGACGCAATGTAAATTATTTAATGAAGATTTACTTTTAAATTCCTGGCATCATATTCATGGAACAGAAATGGGAAAATAGTGACACAATCAAGGAAGCACTTCTCTATTTCCAGCTTGTTCTCTGGTTTTTAACCACATTCCTCCTTTCCTCTCTCCTTGAAGAACCACAGGGTATCAGAACAAGTAAACTGTTGGCCACGGGGACATTACAGCGATGAGTACAAGCTTGGTAACGTGTATTCTCGTTCCTGTTCCATATATTCTGGGTAACATATAATTCCCAAGGCATTAATTTTGTTGGTTTATGCAAATATATATTTTATGAAAAATTTTAGAAAGATTGTGAGATACTTTTGAAATTTTTCAGATTTGTTAACCTGGAGCCCCCAAAATTAATAAAAACAAATCAACTTCTCCATACATGGTTATATTTAACACTTTATAGTATTATTATGTGCCAGGCACTGGTCTGGAAAAATTTACAAATATTAACTAGTTTAGCCCTCACAGCAACACTAGGAGGTGGGCGCTGTTCTTACAGACGAGAAACTTCTCCAAGGCCTTAGGGCAGGTACATGGTAGACCCTAGACTTGAACCATGACAGTCAGATTCTGGAGTCCCTGCTCATCCCCACCACCTATGCTTTCTCTCATACACAAGGGTCATGCATAGCCATTATCAGTCATCATGGTGTCATGACCAGGTTAAAAGGTGGTGGCTGAGGAAAATACCTGTGTCCCACTCCCCCCACGCCCACATAATACAGTACAACAAAACCAGCAGCAGCACCTCGTACTTGCAAAGCATACCTGACCTCATTTAATCCTCATAACAACCCATTTGGCAGGGCCGGGTCACGGGTATAATCTCCATTTCACAACCAGGCTCAGAGAGGTTGAGGAACTTGCCACAAATCACACAGTGAGTGAGTGGCGGGGCTGGGCTCCCACTTCAGCTTTTGGAACCCCATTCCAGGGCTCCTTCCTCTACACATAGTACTGTGAAGACCAGCAAACATTACATGATAGAGCAGGGTCCTGCTGGTTTCCCTTTGGAAATCAATACACCCCCAGCACACAGGAAATGCCGTTCTCTCTCCATCAGCACATCTTTACACTGGTCTATCCAGTCGAGCCAGGTCTCTGTACGGCACTTTATTGAAGTGGGGGTTGGGCGAGAAATAAGAACCAAACAGGACTGGGTGGTACCAGCACTACCTTGCCTTCAAGCAAGACAGAGGAGAACTGGGTTGGCAGGAAGAACCAGGAGCCATAAGCCGCCCAGTGTTCTACTTGTTCAGTGGACACCAAGACTGGAGATGGGCATTGCTGTCCCTGTCTCCTGAGGGTGGAATAGTAGCTAAAAACTGGACCCAGGCCTCTCCGGGGTGCTGCACCTGTCGGCAATCATCTCGCAGAGTCCAGCTCAGCCCTTCCATCTAGCCTGGTCCCAACGACCCAAAGGAGGCCACGTCAGTTTAGGATGTACCGGGGTACATGTATCCCACCAGAGAAGATGGCTACTGGTCCAGGGGAAAAAGACCAAACTGAGCTTCCAGCATTGTCCAATGGAAATTCCCCTTCAGAAAAAAAATGTAAGACTAACCTAGTTCTGGGATGATATTCAAAATATTGAATAACTGGTACAGCACGGGCACTTAACCAGTCAGGAAGGCCCATGGGAAAAGGCTTCCCGTCTGGCCAGACACTTCCCCTTTAACATCTGGACTGAGGGAAGGTGGAAAGAGGCAGAGTCGGGGGCAGCAGGGCGTGTGGCAGTCATCACCGACCATCCAGTACACACAGGATGAATTAACAGCACCGCTCTATAGCCTAAGATCCTTGGGACCAGGGATATTAAAAAATACAATAACATTTTAAATACAGAATAATCAAAAAACCTAATAAATACCTATTTTCTCCTATGTATTCATTCAATAATAACTAAGATAAAAAGCAGTGGAGAGACTCCATCTGGAGCAGAACTGGAGGTGAACTAAAGTAATCAATACATCAACCAACCAAAAACATTTGTTAAAGGTCACAGGAACCAAAGGAGGAGGAGGAGGTAAGTGAGAAAGGACAAAGGAGACGACTGACAGGATACTGGGGGGAGACAGGAGAGAGTCAGGAGTCACCTCAGGTCTCAAACCCAGTCAACGCAGGTCCCATTCTAGAGTTAGGGAGGCGGCAGAGAACGGTCTATTCATCGACCATCCAGAGGGCAGCTGATGACTACCTCCCCTCTCCCACTCCTATTTGCCTCAGGGGTCATGCACCCTATGAAACAACTGATGAGGACAATCAGAGGCAGGAAATAATAGCCCTCCCTGTGAGCAGAGGACAAAGACACTGTCTGGGCCTCACACTGCCTTACCTTTTCGTGTCCCCTCAAAATTCATACGTGGAAATCCTAACCCTCAGTACCTCAGAATGTAACAGTATTTGGAGACAGGTTCTTTAAAGAGGTAATTAAATTAAAATGAGGTCATTAGAACGAGCCCTAATCCAATCTGACTGGTGTCCTCTTAAGAAGAGATTAGGACACAGACAAGTACAGAAAACATGAGGACACAGGGAGAAGATGGCCATCTACAAGGAGAGAGGCCTCAGAAGAAACCAACCCTGCCGACATCTTGATCTGACACTTCTAGCCTCCAGAATTCTGAGAAAGTAAATTTGTGTTGGTTAAGCTACACAGTCTATGGTACTTTGTTATAGCAGCCCTAGCAGACTAACACACTGCCCATTCCCCACCAACACCAACTCAGGAGAGATGTCATTGGAGCCTGTTGGTGAAAAAAATAAACAACTGAGACTTATCTCCACCCACCAAATCCCTTTCCTGTTCCAGAAACATTTTGTTTACAAACTCTTGGGAGAACCCATCTGAACACATGCACACCCTACATAAGCCGCATTAGTTGCTGCCATTTGGTGGCATTCACCATGTGGTAGGACTTAAACAGTGATCTCATTCCATGCTCACAGCAAGGTTCTACTGTAGGATGGTTAATATTATTCCCATTTTCAAATGAGGGAAACGATGGCCACGAGGTTAGGTAAATTTGCACAGTGAGTAAAGGACAGATTTGGGATTTGAGGGCAGGCCCCAACCTGATGGCAGTGAATCAATGCTCAGTGCCACTTGTTCTGTGGTGCCTGCTCTGGGGACAACAGGGTCTAGGGCAAACCCAGATGAAGCCGCAGCAGCTGGCTGCCCACAGAGGGACGGTGTTCGTCTCTAGTGAGTAAGAGAGAAGAGTCAATGAGAGCAGGTTTCCTTCTTAATTTCTTTCTCCTCTGCCTCCTAAGTGTCTGGACTCCCATAAGGGGAGTCCATTCTTCCATTCCTGCTCTGCTACATGGTTTTCCACACCTCAGAGAGAGTGATTCTTCTAAAGCTTAACTATCTAATCACTCTTTGCACTCAAAACCCTCCAATTGCCTCTCATCTTAAGCAAAATCCAAATGAGACCCACAAGACCCAGCCTCCCTGAACTCATCTCCTACCTCCCTCTCCCTAGTTCACTACTTTCCTAGCCCCACTCTCCCCCATGCTGTTTCTAAAATCCAACAAGGATCTCCTTGCACTTGCTGTTCCCTCTGCTCCCTCACTTCCTTCAGATCTTTGCTCAAATGTCACCTTTATAGAAAGGCCATCCCTGAACACCCTACTGAAAATAACACTCTTCCTCCATAACCTCATTGCCCCTTACCCTCCTTGTTTTTCTTCATAACACTTATCAGGCCCCGACAGTCATTCATTTGTCTACTTACTATCTGTCTCCCCCCACTGGTAGGTGAGCTCCATGAGACCATCCTTCCCATTGTCACTGTACCATCCCTAAGACCTGGACCAGCGTCTGTCACATAATAGGTGGATTTATGGATGGATACCAGAAACTATAACAATGGAAAACTCATACAGCAGAAACATAAAAAACTGCTCTGGGCCATTGAGAGAAGTTGCTATTAAAATGTAGCTTGAGGTAGAGAGTCAAGGGGAAGATTAGCGTAAGAGGTTAGCGTGAGGTTCAGAGGAAGATGACTAAGACAGGGTCACGTGCTTTATATGCAGGTCACTTGGTGATTTTAAAGTGGGTAGTGGTGTCACCACACGGGGACAAGCAGCACAAGATGACCACGTGACCTCCAGACGGGGAGGATGTGCGGATCAACCAAGAGGCTTAGTTTTCACACCTCTGGACCGCAGTGGGAAGTGACCGAACATCCATTCCTGTGAATTATTTACGTCTATTAAAGAAAAGGCGAACCTTTTAGGCCAGAGGAAGTATCTAAATGAAATCACCTTAGGTTTTTATGCCAATTCTAAAGTTAAAAACTGAATACTTACAGTTCTGGGTTCAAACGTATACAGCGCTCTGAACACTTTAACTTGCCCTAAAAGAGAGGAAAAAAACCAACACGTGATCAATTCTTTCATTTCTAAATTTGCTCTAAGTGGTATTATCCATTATATTCCTTATTCAAAATTCCCTAATTAAAAGCCCATGTGGGAAATTTATTTTGGAATTAAGTAATTTTTCCGCATAGGAGGTATTTTTTAAATATTTGTTAAATGAAAGCATGAATAAACACACATCTCTGGGGGATGATTTTGCTGCCCCCTCTCAAACAACAAGAGCCACATAATTATTTATACTTAGCTTCTGTCCTATATAGAGCCCTTCCAAACCTAAGATCGACGTTTAAAAATAGAAAGATGAGTGTCTTCACATAAAGTGATACTTAATATGACAATTGACAGTGGTTTAATATTCTTAAATCAATGGTTTAGGATTTTATATTTTCCACAAGAAAAGAAAATATCATGGAGAAAAAGAGTACTTGTTGGAGAAATCTGTGATTCCATTAAGTCCCAAAACAGAGAAAAGAATGCAGTAACTAAGCAGAGGTCATGCTCATGCGAGACGAGAGCTGTCCTCCATTCTGCCAAAAAGTACCTCTCTTTATACGCTCCCCCGCAGCATTTCTGTAACACCGCGTCTCAGAATCACTGATTTGCCCGCCGATCTCATTTAAGAGCAGGAACCCTACCTAACTTGTCCAATTTTCCAGCACTTACCTGGCATATAGTGTGAACTTAATAAATGCTTCCTAAATGAAATGTAAGTAAAAGAACAAATTCAAACAGTATAGGAAAAAGCCTACAGATAGCAAAAAAAAAAAAGTCTTTCTATGAAATAAACAGATTTAGAAGGGATATCAAAATAAAAACTACCTACTCAAAATGTGATAACAGTTCAGTTTCAGCACCAGAAGAACTTTTAGAGATGACCATGTAGTATAAGAGCATCATTCAAAACAGTGGTCCCCAAGGTGGGATATAGGAAGACTACTTCAGAAATTATTTACATTTTTTATCTTATTCTTTCTCATTCCTACTTTAACACGTTTTTACAATATAACAGCATAATAGAATACATATACAACTTATAACTACATATATATTTATCAGGAGTGAGTCCTCAAAACCTTTTGCTGATAGAATGGAAGTATTGTAAGCACAGGTGTTTTTGTTTTTTAAATGAGATACCCAAATACCTGGCATGGTGCCTGGCACATGGGAGGCACTTAACAATTATTTGTTGAATGAATGAAGAATGAAGGAGTGGAAACATGAACGCAAAAAAGTCTGAAAACCAGTAGTTTAGAACAGCACTGTCCATTGTAACTTTATGCATTGATGGAAAAGGTCTACATCTGTGCTAGTCACATGTAGCTGATGAGCACTTGAAAGGTGGCTAGTGTGACTGAGGAACTGATTTTTAAACATTATTTAATTTTAATTAAGTTAAACTGCCACACGTGGCTGGTGGCCAGCATACTGAATGACGCAGGTTTAGAACGTCAGAAAATGGGAAATGATGTAATATCCATTAAGAGGGGACTATGTTAGTCAACTCTGACCCATCCACATGATAGAGTCATTAAAAAAGAATGCTGCAGACAGCTCCACAGACACTGACGTAGCAAAGAGCCTGCAAAATATTCAGTAAAAAAAGCAGGTTATGGAACAGTATGCCAAGTACCACCCCATTTACGTTAACACACACACGCCTTGAATGACAGAATTACAGGGAAACATCACATTCTCCTTTACATGTATTGTTTATATCCATTACACTGAGCATGTATTATTTTTACAATCAATGAAAACAGTAAAGATACTTTCATGGGGGTGGAGGTGGGAATCATTCTTTCTTCTAAACGCGCTAATATAGAAGAGCAGCTCAGATCCCCGGTTACTTAGCGGGTCTGCAAGAAAACATTTTTTCGATCTAAATTCTAGTGCCACATCTTTCCTGCTCTACTGCGGGGAGGTTAAGCAGCAGAAGCAAAAGTGAAAACTTTTTTTTCATTTGACTTTGTTTTTTACCCACACGAGTGGGCCTGAGAAAGAAACATCAAACGGAAGGAGGAGCCACTGGGAGAAATACTTTCTGCTGACCCGGTTGTCTCTGAGAGGGGAGGTTAGTTATCTTGATCACTTCACACTTTCCAAAAAGAAGGTACACAAGGAGCCGGCCCACTCCTGACCAAATCTATAATGAAAGAACCTTCTTGCTCCTTTGAGGGAATGGCAGCGATGAGATGTGCCATAGCTAATTTTGGAAACAAGATCCAACGTCAACTCAATGACCTAAGAAAAAATTCAACATAAATTAAAGAATCCGAAAAAAAATACTTGGAGTGTGACTAAGCCACTGATTTTTGCAATTGTATCTTTTGTAACTGTCTTACTTAAAATGTTCACAACTAAAAGGAAGTGGGAGATTTATTTGCATCTTGATTTATACTAAATATGGAACAGCAGGCAACTCTCCAGGCTCTTACACAAGCAAACATTCTCCCTGTGTAAGGCTGTAGAAAACACTTTCACATACACAATCCTACTTATTGATTAATGTTAGGATGTTAGTCTCTTGTGGATCCCTTGTAATCCATATATTATAAAAGTTCTGGGCCTTAATTTATTTTGTTCTCAAACCTGAGTCAAGTAGAAATGAAAGAATGCAAAAGAATATGGATATGAAAAGAAAAGGATATGAAAGAACTGCATAAAAAAGAAAAACAGATGACTTTCATGATTATAGTTTACCAACCCTGGATAGTCTCTCAAGAGGATAATAAATAATACTTAATTCATCAATCATTTTTACATCATATTTAATTCAACTGCGAGCGATGTTCTATAGGTCTACAGGTTTAGACAGAGTATTGGAGGGAAGAAACCTGGTTACTCAGTGTTTCTACAGTATTGTCCTTGCAGACATCTTAAAAAATCATAATAAACATCTTAACAAATCATCAATACCAGGCGCTGATCAATTCCAAATTTGTTTAAAGAAGGCAGATTCAGAAATGTGAAATAGTTGTGTTCTTGTATATGCAGGGAGGCTAAATTAGATGCCTTCCTCAGGCGCCTCCCTCTCGAGCATTTTCTCATGGAAGTCTGGTTACATATAACAAAGAGAGAAAGTGGAGCTGAGAAGACTGTACAAATTACCTGAAATCACCCTGGAATTCACCCTGAATTAAGACTGGAAAGAGGTCCAGTCTTTTGTCTTTCTGTGACGCTCACATGAACTAGCACGTGAATGGTGTTAAGGATTTCAGTATGGCTGGCTGGCCTCCTGACGTAAGCAAGATAAGCAAATTCCCATTCAAGGAGCAGCAGCGGGCCCCTGCTGGCTTTTCACTTTGCTGGCTCCTCACCTAGCCAGGCACGCCCTTCCCTTCTCTCAACAACCCCACCCTGCCCCTATAGAGAAGGGCTGAATCCACTAGTCACCAAACAAATGCTTTATTTTCCTCTGGAGTTAGACCGACCCCAGACTCCTATAAACTGATCCCTGTCCATACGGTTGAGGTAGGTGGAGGGACAGGGTCTTACAGAGGCAAGGGGTAAAAGAATTTTCTGTTTCTGACGTTTGCAAACATAATATGTATCAGTGCACCTCTAAGGCCCTGAAATACCACTTAGAAGCCACTGGGCTTACAAACTTGAACATACAATTTCTAATCTACTTTATTCTCTGTTGGTGGAGGAGTGGAGGATAAGCTTCTAGAGTGAGCCACCAAGACAACATTATAAAGGGACTGCTCATTATAATGGATACACACAGAATAAACAGCAAGGGGGATGACTATTCAAAATATCAGACCTTCATATTCTGTAACAGATCAACTATTTCATTTACATTCTGCTTAAAAATATTCAGAGGCATGAGACATTTTATTTATTTATTTATTTATTTATTAAAGATTTTATTTATTTATTTTTTCCCTCCATAGCCCCAGTAGATTGTTGTATGTCATAGCTGCACATCCTTCTAGTTGCTGTATGTGGGATGCGGCCTCAGCACGCCCGGGATCCGAACCCGGGCCGCCAGCAGCAGAGCCCGTGCACTTAACCGCTAAGCCACGGGGCCGGCCCGGCATGAGACATTTTAGATGGACTTCATTTAAAATGGCTATGATAACTACTACATACCCACTATGATAGTTAAAACTAACTATCCTGACAATGCTAATGTTAAGGACACAGAACTGGAATTCTCAGACACTACCAGTGGGTGTGCAAACTGGTACAAGCACTATAGAAAAATATTTGGCAGTAGCATCAATTCATTTTTTATAAGTCTTACCATGCCTTTGAGATCTTAAATTGCATTTCTGGGAAAGGAACGTAACTAGTAAACCCTCCTCACATCTTTTGTGGGACTAAAATACAAAAGGACCATAAGAAAATGACCCCTCCCAACTGTGTCACTATTTCCAGAGAACAGTGAGCCTCAACATTTTTAAACTGTGGATCATGACCTATGAGTAGATTGTGAAACTAACTTAATGGCTTTAAAAAATATTAAATACAATAGAAAAGATCAGAGTACACTGTAAGACTGTACATGATAGAAATAATCATAGTTTTGTGAAATTTTTGTTTCATTGGGACTGGACAGATGGATGGATAGATGGATGCTTATTTTAGAAATTTACCAAATTCACTTGTTGGCATAATGCCAAAACCCAAATATTAAAATCAATATTTGCCAAAGTCAAATGTTGCCTTTACAGAATGAACTATAAAATACAGGAATAAATACAAGAATACATCTGAAATACAAGATATAAGAATACATCAGATGAGGGGCCAGCCTGGTGGCACAGCAGTTAAGAGCACATGCTTCACTGAGGTGGCCCGGGGTTCGCAGGTTCAGATCCCGGGCACGCACCGACCCACCGCTTGTTAAGCCATGCTGTGGCGGCGTCCCATATAAAGCAGAGGAAGATGGGCACGGATGTTAGCCCAGGACCAGTCTTCCTCAGCAAAAAAGAGGAGGATTGGCATTAGATGTTAGCTCAGGGCTAGTCCT